CACAAAAGTCCTCTGAGTAGACGAGTTTGCCTCAGAGGCCAGTTTTCGTTGAACCTCACGTGAAGGTGCAGCTGGCGACTAACATACGAGCGATAGAGACGGCAATAAAGTAGTTTGGATTTTTCCTGGGTAAACAACCCGGCAAAATGTCCTTACAGACGAAATATACTATTGTATCCCTGGATATCTTTATACACGGTGGCCCATAACTGTGCACTCTAATTTTGAGGGTGGAAAGAGGGTGAAATTTGGGGTCGAAAGTTCCTGTTCCACTTTGCTGTTCGACGCACCCCTGCCGAGTTTTTCAACTTTGAAGTTGACCAATCATAGCGTTGCTCCGCCCACTGGACCAATCGTTCTCAACTCAATCGTTTTTGAATGAGAAAAATGGTGATTATGAAATTTTCTCTTAGGGTCAAAATCAGGGGCAGAGTCAGGGGTCCAGGAATCGGCAGGGGGCGGTAGGAATCCAGCTCCGGGTGGAGGGCTCGGTGAAGACAGATGTCCAGGTGAAGGTCCAGGTTAAGTTCAAGTGCTAGGAATTCTTCCAGGTGATGAAAAAATTCCCGGAACTGTTCCAGTTTCAGGTCCAGAACTGCGAATTGTCCCAGGGAGATGTCCAGGTTCAGGAACTGTTCCAGGTAGAGGTCCGAGTTCCGGAACTGTTCTGGATAGAAATGCAGGTTTGGAAACTGTTCCAAGTGGAGGCTCAGGTTTGAGAATTGTTCTGGGTGCACCTCCAGGTCCGGGAACAGTTTCCGGTGAACGTTCAGGTCTGAACATTGTTCCAGGGGGGACGTCCATGTCTAGGATCTGTTCCAGGTAGACGTGCAGATTTGAAAATTGTTCCGGGTACACCACCAGGTCCGGGAACGATTCTGGTTGAACGTCCAGATCTGGACACTGTGCCAAGTGAAGGTCCTGGTCCGAGAACTGTTCCGGGTGGTTGTCCATGTCCAGGAACTGTTCCAGGTTGCGGAACAGTTCTCGAACCTGCACCTCTACTTGGAATAGTTCCTAGACATGGACGTCTACCTGGAACAGTTCCTGAACCTGCACCTCCATTTGGAACAATGTCCAGACCTGGACGTTCACCTGGAACCGTTCCCGGACCTGGACGTTCACCCAGAGCCGTTCCCGGACCTACACGTATACCCGGAACAGTTCTCGAACCGGCACCTCCACCTGGAACAGTTTCTAGACATGGGCGTCCATCTAGAATAATGTCCAGACCTGGACGTTGACCCGTAACCGTTCCCGGACCTGGAGTTGCACCCAGAACAGTTCTCGAACCTGGGCCTCCACTTGGAACAATTTCCAAACCTGCATTCGGAACAGTTCCGGAACTCGGACGTCTCCCTGGCATAGTTCCTGAACCTGGACCTCTCCCTAGGACAGTTCGCAGTCCTGGACCTGAAACGGGAACAGTTCCGGGAATTTTCCCCTTGGAAAAATTCCTAGCACTTGAACTTAACCTGGACCTCCACCTGGACATCTGTCTTCACCGAGCTCTCCACCTGGAGCTGGATTCCTACCGCCCCCTGCCGATTCCTGGACCCCTGACTCTACCCCTGATCTTCACCCTAAGAGAAAATTTCATAGTCATCATTTTTTTCATTCAAAAACGATTGAGTTGAGAACGATTGGTCCAGTGGGCGGAGCAACGCTGTGATTGGTCAACTTCAAAGTTGAAAAACTCGACAGGGGTGCGTCGCACAGCAAAGTGGAACAGGAAATTTCGACCCCAAATTTCACCCTCTTTCCACCCTCAAAATTAGAGTGCGTAATTATGGGACACCGTGTATTTTACTCTCATTTACTTCAGGGTTTTGATGTGGGATCTAGCCTTTCCTCTACTCCAAGGAAGGACTTTTCATCATTTTTCTTACATCCATCCACTCACTGATAAGACATAGCACTTACGCTGCAATTAAATTGATATATTGTACGTCGGGTATTGTAGATCGGGTAATACTAATAATCATAAAATCATATGTGAAAATTAACTCACTTTACTGGAATTTATTATGGCTTCCGGATCGATGCCGCGTCTAGATTCAGCTTCTTGCCGACGTTTCGCAAACATTTCAGTCTGCATCATCAGGGCTAGGTCACTCTGATACTAGAGCTCCCCGTTGTAAGGAAGTCCTTATATTCCCCTGACCTCTGGAGGGGTTTGGTGGCGTGGTGGGGGGTATCGCCGCCAATCAAGATCGTTTTAATGGATCAGCTGGTCAATTAAAAACCGGGAGGACGGTGTACCAAATAGGATTTGTTTGATATCCTCGATCCGTATTGAGATTATTCGGATGTTTTTGGATCTCGAGACTTTCGCGATGTTTTCTGGCGAAATATCTTTATGAGCTAGCAAGCATTTCTATTGTGGCCTATTTAACAGAGTGTCCATTGTCCATCCAATGTTCAGCTAGTGCAGATTGCAAGATATGGCCATTTTTGCACACCGTTGATGTTCTTTGATCCGTGTACTGATCCTTCTCTCGATTTCACCAATGTACACTTTTCCACAAGAGCAAGGAATTTTCTACACCTCAGGGAGACTCAGTGGTGGTCTCCGATCGTTAGTGCTCGGGAACATTTGTCCAATTTTCGTTGGTGGTTTGAAAATTGTCCTGATATCATGCTTCCACAGTACCTTGCTAATGCGATCGGTCGTACCTTGAAGATACGGGACAACAGCCGTTTTCTGATGTTCTATCTTATCAGCAGGTTCACTCTCAACTGAGTTCTTGTTTTTTAGCCTGTGCAAAGCACGTTGAACTTGTTTGCTGTTGTACTTATTGTTATTCAGGGCTCTATCCACACCGTCCTCCCGGTTATTAATTGACCAGCTCCAGGGTCAGGGGGGATATAAGGACTTCCTTACAAAGGGGAACTCCAGTATCGGGGCGACCTAGCCCTGATGATGCAGACTGAAATGTTTACGAAACGTCGGCAAGAAGCCGAATCTAGACGTGGCATCCATCTCGAAGCCATAATAAATAATAATGTTGGCCGCGAAAGCCTCAAAACTCAAATTAAACGCCTCCACGGAGAGGCCATCCTTGACACTGTAAACTTGTTCACTAAGTTAAGGAAGTCGTCGCACATCCATCTGTGCTCTCTAGCATTTCTTAAAAGGTGCTGTGACTATCAGGTGGTACTGAAATGCTTCCAATTAGAAAACCTTTTTTCCTCTCAGCAGACCAACTCGATTCTTCGACAGGCCTCACTGAGATTGATCTGAGAAAAAAAGTGCGCAACGAAGGTACTCGTGACGCCAAACACAATAGGCCTGTGGAGGGAGAACTGGCCGCATAAGGGGAAGAGGCGAGATAGCGCCGCGCTCGGCGCCCAGTGGTACTTGTCCCCTGTTTTGGTGTCGGCGACATCAAAGCTTCATAATATCTACTTCTATCATATCTTACTCCACGGTGCTCTCACTTCACGGGCATGCAGTAACGTGTCGTCGCCGATTCGAGAGGTTTACTGTGCGCCCTTTCATTCACTTACAATAGAGTCTCCCTAACTCTACCACCTCGGGGCTACAAATTCCACGAAATGAGCAGTTGCAGATATCTACACTCTATGGCTAGAGGGCGTCGTCCAAGTAGAGTGAGAATGAGAGGTTATGGGACATACGGAGTACGAAAAAAGTATGGGAGCAGAAACTGTTTATTGCGCATGCACCAAGCGCAGAAAAATACACACATAGCACTCACACACTTTTGGGGTGCTCAGAGTGAGGGAACACTCGCCCCGCTGTCACTGATCGACGAGAAATTGGAGAGTAGAAGAGTTAGGGAGACCCTACTGTAATTTAATTGGCATTGATTTCTACTCTCCATTTACTGGCCTCAGTGAAAACGGTACTGGTAGTGGGCTGCCCGAGACGCTCGCAGTTCTCTTCACGTTCCACCTAGTTGGGTGGCCACAAAGTGGGAGAAATGCCTTTCACGAAAAAGGATTAAATGTTCCACTTGTTCTTGAAATTCCGAAGTTCTCTGGAATCGACTCTTCGACCATTTCAATCATCAGTGAAAAATATTGCTCACAAAAATGATAAAGATGATTGTATTATAAGTTCTCTAATTTTAGACCGAGCAAGGAGTAACGTACCACGAAACTTTTTGCCTACTTGTACGCACAATCGTGGCGAAAATCAATACTTTCGCATATGCATCCTCATTTTCGATCCGCGCCTTTATTATGGATTCGAATTTTTGAAACCTTAGAAGTAAATTTCATTATTTTCTGATCGGCCCATGAAATTCCCTAGAGCTAGTAAATTTCATGGATATGAAGGAAAAAGCCTAAATTCCTGTCCACAAACATAAAAGTTACGGGCGACTGTTGAAAGCACACAAAACGATCAGAAAGGTTGAAGGGAAATGATCGGAAAAGTTTCAATATGAAATGTGATTGAATCAAGGATTAAACGAGAAAGCCGGACGGAGTACTTAGAACAGGCAAACGATCATAAGGGTCAAACGAGAGATGCGAGGAAAACGATCAGAAACATCGAAGGATCATAAGGGTAAAACTGGAGGGCGAGAGAGGCCTCTTAATTCGTGTGTCCAACTCTCCCGTTGGTTTGTCAACTTTACCGTTTGACGCCAATCAAAGTTTGACCAGCAGATTATTGGTATTTCCGACCAACAATGTACCGGTGAATTCCCGACTTTTAAATGACATTCGTAAGAATTGTTTCCTGTATTTCCTGTTTGACCCTCATAATATTTTTGATTCTCATAATTTTTTTGCATGTACTTCCCGTTTAACCCTCCTAGTCGTAAGTATAATGGTAGAAAAATATGCGAATTTTGTAAGAAATCTCGATCATTTCACCTGCAAAAATGGTGGGATTTCAACTTTTTTGCAATTGATCAGTCTTCGGCCAACTCGATTGTGATTAGATGCTAAATGAAATCGTCTCAGTGGTTGTTCTGTTACTTGGATAAAACTTAAACATCCGTCAATTTTATCTTTTTTTTTCATTACAGCGCATGAGATTGGAAGGAGGATTAATATCGTTTCACGAAGAGCCACAGCATCGCCTCAAGCCCCTTCAACCATCTTCCACCGTTTCCCACCTCTACCACGACATTCCGCCAGAGCAATATGCCCCCTCGACTCCCAGCAATTTCTTTTCAACAGCTTTGACATCCTTAACATCTCGCCTCGGTATTGCCCTCCCAAATCCAGCACCAGAAGTCGAGATGGCTCCAAGCCAAATACACACAGATGTGCCACCTATTCAGGAGGTTGCTGTGCCAAATGAACCTTATTCCGTCGAGCCCAAGAAGAAGAAATACGCCAAAGAAGCGTGGCCTGGCAAAAAACCGTTGCCAACTCTCTTGGTATAGAGGAGAATTTGTAATATTCAATACGTAAGAATCTCTGTGATGATTTCAGTAGTAGTGAAAGAGTGGTAAAAGAGTTTTACCAAAACTTTCAGTGCTTGTTACATTTGCATTTATATCGAAAACGATTCAAGTAGCGATGAAATGTCTGAATATTCTCTCCAAACCGAGAAAATGTTCCATTGAAAATGTCTCTTGGTATTCACTTGTAAGATTGTCCATTTGCAATGGTGCTCTTCTCTGCTATAGTTAGAGAATATAACTACACCAAACAGAAGCAGATCCCTCATTTCTGTGACAATTTCTTGACCCATTGTGACACGTCATTGAAACTCACTTTTCCGTACCCCTCTTCACTTTTTCTTGTCCGGGGACTGACATTGACTCTTTCTCAAACTCATAAAAGTGAAAATTACTGCGGAAAAATATTGTTCATGACTAGTATCTGAGGTTTTTTTACACGTCTGGTCGGCTAGTCCTTCACTGCGGTTCGGATGCCAACTCTATACGAGTAGAAAACCCTATGGTACTCGTCCTGAAATATTATATTTCGCCTTTTCTTCCGACGATAAACCACATGACGCATATACGCTTTAGGCCTCCGCACAATCAAAGCAATAAAGCACAAGCATTAAAAACAGCCAATAGAGCAAGAAGCATAAGCAACACTGGCCAGTCATTCTGTATTGCGCGTTAGCAGAATAGCAGGGGTTGAATTGTGTTGATTACTTATAGCTTTTTCTTCGTTGCTAATATCTGTTGCTTATCGCTTATGTTGTTCAATTGTGCGGAGGCCCTTCGACTTGAGCTGACAAATTGAAAAAATTTTATAGAAAAATGTAGCGCATGTGCTACGCTGATAGAAAAGGTGAAACGATGTATTAGGTGTATAACTTGATCTTTCCCATTTTTTTAATTGAGTTCGGTGTCTTATTTAAAATTTAAATATTTAGGCGCCCGTTTACGATTTTGAAGAGTGAACCTTACAGTTTTTAATACGCTATATGCCAGGCCTGGAAGAGCTGTATAATTTCACAAGATACTAGTATACACGATCGCGACCGATACGCAGCACATTCGGCACTGTATTCTCTACGAGTTCCAACAAGGAAAAAAAGCCGTTGAAGCCCGCAATTCGATTTGTTTTACTCTCGGAAGTAATATTGTGTCTTATAATACGTGTAAATGTTGGTATAGACGCTTTAAAAATAGCAACTTCGATCTCAGTGATCGGAAACGTCCTGAACAGCCTCTGAAATTGGAAGATACTGAATTGCAAAAATTACTCGACAAAGACTCAACGTAAACCCAAAAAGAGTATGCAGCTCAGCTAGGAGTTACTCAAGCCGCAGTCTCTAAACGATTACACGCAATGGGAAAAATACAAAAGGTAGAAAGATGGGTTCCACACGAACTGACCGAACATAACTCTGGTCAACGCATGAACACTTGTCTTTTGCTGCTCGTGAAGTGCCAAAAGAAAAATTTTTTGTCAAATTTTGTGACGGGAGATGAAAAATGGATATTTTGTGCTAATCGCAAATGCAAAAAGGCATGGTTGGATCTCGGACAACCATCGATATCCATTTCCCAACAAAAAATTCACTTGAAAAAAGTTCTCCTCTGCATCTGGTGGGATATGAAGGGTCTATTACGAACTTTTGGGAACATGTTAGACAGTTACTGCAGAACGCTACAGTTGACAATTGAACAAATTAAGCGAGGTACTTGATGAGAAGAGGCCATTTACTGGACAAGGGAGCCGGAAAGTCACTGCTGCGTGGTAACGCTCGACTTCATGTTGATCGCGCGCCTCAGAAAACCATTTTAAGAAAATTAGTCGATGACTTCATCGCCCCAAAGCCTGCAAGTCTTTTTCGCGATGGCACTCGTATGTTGCCCGATCAATGGCGCAAGATCATCGAAAAAGATGGACGATATTTCGAGGATTGACCTAGTATTCATATATTTTACGTCACATATTTTTTCATAAAAAAAGGGAAAAATTAAGTTATACACCTAATAGTTGCTGTTCGTTAACAGCAATTAATTCGTTCCACCAATAACTACATTAATAGTGGATTATTAACGAGTCACGGTAATAGTTAAGAAGCCTCGTGAATAGTAACTAAATCCTTCTATTAGTGTAGAAGATTCCATTGAATTTCTATTGGACTTTGGTTGAAAATTCTATTAGTTTAGCGCCGATTTCATTGAAAACTCCTGCAGTACTCCGGCGAGTTATCCCGATGGAAATATCCCATAGAATTCAATTGTCTTATACAACTAAATAGAATGCTATTGAAGTATTTTCAGTTGTAATAGCTTCAAAATTTTCGGGTATTTCCCGATAGGTTCCTTGCATACAAAAAAGGGTGTCAAGTTTTGCAGGTTGAGAAATCGTTCTGCAAAACTTGGCACGATTGTTTGTTTGTAGGGAGCTCGAGGGAAATATCCAATTAATTTCGAAATTCGAGGAGTATTTATGGGATTATTTCCCTCATCACCCCTTGCGAACAATAAAATTACGGAATCGACGTCCCGTGGTCCAATCAGAACAGAATTTTATCGACAATTTCCTCAATTCTGATTTTGACCAATCAGAGTGCTGTATTCGGGGTCACGTGACGCATTTCACACTGATAATTTCCCCGGCTGCAGGGAAATTATCAGACTGATAATTTCCCTGTAGCCTGTCAATTGTTTTCTACAAATTTAACAGATCTTCCTCACATTTTGGTGAAATGTATCTCGTAACCCCGAACACTGCACCCTGATCGGCCTAAATCAGAATTGAAGAAATTGTCCTGCGAATACCCCTCGACCTTCAAAAGTTAGCGGCTATTTCCCTCAAGTTTTACTGCATATCAACGATCAGGATCAGTTTTGCAGTAAATATCCGATAATTTTGAAGGTCTTGGGGTATTATAGGTGATAATACCCCGTCGTTCGGTAATGACCGATTATTTCCCCCCTCTCCCTTCAAAACAATAGAATTGTAGTATTCGGCATCTCATATACTAATCGGCAAAGAATTGTAACGATAAGTTCCCGTTGTTCGGTAATTATCCCCATTGGTAAGCAGAACAATAAACAATTGGCGAATGTACCACCATGACACCGAATACCACAATTCTATTTATGAAAATAGTGATGTGGGTAATAATCTGACAATAACCCTCGACCTTCAAAATTAATCCGATATTTCTCTCAAGCGTCTCAACAAACGAACGATGGTGCCAAGATTTTCAGAAAAATCTCTCATTTGTTTGCAACGAAGCTATCGGGAAATACGCGGTAAATTGAAGCCCTTGGGGTATTACTACTGAATTATTCATGAAGACGGTTCGAAATTTTCTTGGCGAGCAGGCCAAAGTTTCTACCATTTTTCTTCCTTTAGAAGCAATTGATAATGTCGGTAATTGAATCCAATTTCCACAGGAATTAACGTAAAGAATGATAAATTACACATTAATGAGAATGACGACAGAAAAATAAGAAACACGTTGAAAATTAAAATAATAAAAAATTGCAAATGAAAAATTCCCAGCGAAAATGTTAATTAAGTGATTTAAAAATAGAAAAAAAACGAAAACTGAAAAATTGGAAACCTACAAGGAAAAGTACTCGACGGAGTGATTAAAAAAAAGAAAAAGAAAAACTGACCTACAATTGCAACGCATAGAGAGAAAGTGATGATACCAAGGCGAAACACATTACAACCTCAACAATTATCAAGAAGGAAGAACGGAAGAGCAAAGTCGGGGGACATGAAAATTTTTAATAATTCTATGTGTGTTCTGTGGTCTTTGATATCCCGTTGCTCCTCCTAGATGAATGTAATTGCCGAAGTGCCATCCGTGTTAGTACCAAATGTTTCGATGTGAGTTTAATAAACAACGTTGGATATATTGATTTTTTATTTTTGAATGGTTCGAGAACGTGATGGCTTATAATGAAAACCTGCAGAAAGTTATCTTCAAGATTGCAAATCGTTCATGTTGGTGTGTCACTAGGCTCGCTACGATCGGCTAGATCGCAATTTTTGGGCTCGTGATATAAAATAGTCACATACGGTCCGCAAAATATTTTATGCCACTCATGCCTGAAACCGGCTGGATTACACACTCGACGCTTCGCGTCTCGTGTCTAATTCAGCCGGTTTCAGGCTTCGTGACATAGAATTTCGTTCAGTACTTGTTGGGAAATTTCGTCCTTAACGTGTGTGGTTACATCACTCGCCTTCGACTCATGCTGTAAACCCCACACACGTTGAAGACGAAATTGCCCCACACGTGTTGAAATATACTATTTCGATGTATGAATATGATTATAATCCTCGCCTTCGGCTTGGATGATAAATCCACATTTGTCAGAATATATTTCCTCGAACTAATAATGAGAATCTATTATTCCACCTTGCTTTACTCGGTTCAAATACGACTTTTGTACATAGCAATACAAATTAATTTAATTCATTTATTGGAAAACTGAATCGTTGACTTCGAGGCGTGTAAATTCCACATTCGTCACAGATACCTGTTTCCAACGCATACGCTAACTTATAATAATCCTTTGCGTCACTAGGTTGGAAGAAACTTGTGTAATAAATATAAGTTAGCAATAGGCAGGAGTCACGGAACTTGAAACTTTGGACTGTTGAGTAAAATTTTTGAGTAATCACAAGAGTCAGACGAAATAAACGGTCAGGATGAACACATGAATCAATGAGTTTTACTTTACCCACTCCCCCACTTTGTAAAAAAATTCTAATATTGTTCACTTACTTTTATTCGATTAACGGATCAAACTCTGTAGGTAATATTGGAAACATATCTCTTTTTGTTTCCTATCCAGGAATAAATGCGTCGTAGAGAGAGAGAGAGAGAGAGAGA